CTAATCACAGTGAGCCTGATGTTGCACATGCTCAGACTTACCAGCCAATCAGAGCACGCACAGCAAAATGAGTGTTTCTCGTACATATCTGGTTCATGGTTATATATGCACTTTTTTCAAATTATTAAAACTGTTTTAACTCACTTTTGCTGGTAATGAAACACTGTCAGTGTGAATGAATGTCCAAATGAATTTGGCAGGAAACGAGTCTTATCCATGTTTATGTTTATTATAAACACTAATGATTTAACATTGTGTAAAAATCCAATTATTGTAAATTAAAAGAAGAATCAATAGGTAATTTAATTACTCCAAGTATAATTATATATCCTATGAGTACTCTGACTGTATATTGAAGCACTAGTAATATTAGATGTCTATGACTAGCTGCAGTGATAACATTATTCCCAAGACCATTTGATGTTGTTAATTTGTAAAAATAATTGTGTTGCTCTTTAAAAAAGAAAAGAAAAAAAAATGAAATAAAAGAAGCTAATCTAATTTCATAGCATGAGGTAGACATACCAATATATCCCATATATCCACCTAATTCTCCTGTTGATTATGATCATAGTATCATTTTAGATACCAGAGGTAATCCCATGAGGGTTTGAATATAAAACAAAACAAAAACATTGAATAGATAATTATTATATTGTGATTACTAATGCATCATTGAAAATCTAGTGAAGAACAAGTGTCATGTTACAGTGATGTGGTTGCATAAACACTAACAGTGCCCACTGCCATTGTGAGAGAGAGAGAATTGGAGATAGTCTGACACTCTTGCTCAATACTTTTTAAAATGTTCTTATTTATCATTAAGTTCTATGGGTTTATATATTGATGTTTGTATGTTCTCTACTATTTTGTACAATTGTTTGTTATGTAATATATTTTGTAAATTACCAGTATTTTATGCTTTATTAATATTTTTGCAGTATCTCAAGCTTTTGTAACTTCATCTTTTGATTTTTTCTAATATTTAAGTATTGATATATAATTAGGCCAAGCTTGTGCATAACTGTAGTGGCAGATGTTAGACTCACTGATGTCAAAGGCTAACTTTACTGGACTATGTTTGTCACTGCATACATGTCATACCTTTGTCATATTTTAGGTTGTATGGAAAATAAGGGAAAAAATTACTAATGTTTCATTAACTCCTCAGTGACAGGTATGGCTATAGCCATCATGATGTATTTGGGTATTAAGTCTTAATGTGTCATGGTTCATTCTACCAAGTTAACAGGTGGCCTGGCTGTTATCAACACAAATCCAACCAAAAAGTTTGATCTGTTCTGTTGTCTGATGATTACATCACAGAAAATTCTGGCCCTGTCATGATAGGGTTAAAGGATGCTGAAAATAATCTGGCCTAAAGTTTTGTTTTAGATTTCTACTGATGTGTATGGTCTTTTGTATTGTTAAAGTTTCCTACACAGTTTTTCTTAAAATAGAGAACAGTTGTTATTATAGTTCTATATTTATTATTCATGCCACCACCATTCTACAGAAGTACTAATGTTAATATTTGTTAACTCCAGTACTAGATGAATTCCTGTGATTATCACTTTTACTTATGTCAAAATTAAACAAGCTGCCTAATTATAAAATGCTAGCAAAAACTGTATACTTTTTATTGTATATAACTAAAGAATTAAATTTGCTTTTAAGTTTGGATAAACAAAATTATATTTGATTATTCTTTACTTATTTGCAGGCAAGACAATGGTGTACACAAATGCTCATCGACTGTTCTTACAAATTTTATCATCCAAACGTTACCTTCTAGGACCAGAAGTTAAAAGCATTCATGAAAAATGCTGTGCAAAGTTCAATGGTTAGTTTTATTAAGTTTGTAGTACATGAGAAAAAGCATGATTGATATTTTCTGCTACATAATGTGTATTTTCTTTGCAATGAAAATGTCTCTAAAACTTCTGTGATATACAATGAATACAAAATGTTTTTGCCACCTTTGGTAGGTTAAACTATATCATGTAAAACGAGAAATAGGAATTATCACAGTCAATTATCAGACTTTTTAGGGCTTATAATTGTATATGAAAGAAATGTTATAAAGTGTATTTTTTAACCATTTATGAAGCTGTAACTTAAGAAAGTTGGCAGATATAGTTACATGTCACTTCTAGATTAAATGTAAAGATGACTTGCTTGAATGTCTGTACATATTTGGCTATTTGTTAGAATGACTTCTGAAGAGTGTTTATGTTAGAGTGAAAAATTGATATTATTTGTGGGTTTTATCTTCAATTTTCTTTTGGAAAATAATTCTTATAAATGTACCTTTTCTATAGTCAGTGCTGACAACCTGCAAGAGTTTGTGAAGGAGATCAATGCAGAACTGGAGCAAATCCACCTGGTAATCCGGAAGTCCATTCAAGAGGATTATACATCTGATATTCAGTGTTTTGTCTTGGTTAATCTCTTTGACAATGATGCTACAAGGTTTGTAGATTCAGTGTCTTTATGCTGAAAGTTATGATTGTATTGGTGTAAGGTAAGATAGTATAGCAAAATAACTAATGTATTTTTGTCTTTTTTACATGTTATGGCTTCTGTCATTTATTTAGGGTGCATTTAGTTGCCAATCTTTCATATGTACCTTTTTCTATAATCTATATTTTATCCTTAACCAGTAATGAAGGATTTGTTGTGAACTTTTAATATTCATGTTCTTAGTATCATTAGTTTTTTATTGATAGATCCATAATTCTGCTATTGCATATTACAAAGCTCATTTTAGCATACAGATTAACCTGTCTGTAGTGGGGAATGCCTTAAGGCATGCAGTGAAGGTTTGGTTATGGCAGTAGGGAGCATCTTAAGATGCGCATTAATTTTTTTTCCTTATCGTTAGAAGGGAAAATCTGAGCTTAGGCCTATTTATAGGCCTTGGTCATACAAATGAAAGAAAGATTGTCTTGTAATTTGAATAAAAAGAAGTGCTGTACAAAAGTTATGTTTTCTAGTGCTGCTGATGAGTCCAAAAACTCCAGCAACTTCATTTGCTCTCTCTAGGTCTTAGCTTGGTTATTATTTATTTTTCTTATTTCTCTTTCTCTCTCTCTCTCTCTCTCTCTCTCTCTCTCTCTCTCTCTTTCTTCTCTCTCTCTCTCTCTCTCTCTCTCTCTCACTCTCTCTCTCTTCTTCTCTCTTCTCTTCTTTCTCTCTTTCTCTCTCTTTCTCTTTTCTCTCTCTTTTCTCTCTCTCTCTCTCTTTCTCTCTTTCTCTTTTCTTTCTCTTTCTCTCTCTCTCTTCTCTGTTTCTTTCTTTCTCTGTTCTTCTTTCTCTGTTTCTTTCTTCTCTGTTTCTTTCTTTCTCTGTTTCTTCTTTCTCTTCTTTCTTCTTTCTCTTTCTTTCTCTCTCTTTCTTTCTCTTTCTTTCTTTCTTCTCTTTCTTTCCTTTCTTTCTTTCTTTCTTTTCTTCTTTCTTTTTTTTTCTTTCTTTCTTCTTTCTCTTCTCTCTCTCTCTCTCTCTTCTTTCTTCTCTCTCCTCTTCTCTCTCTTCTGTCTCTCTCTCTCTCTCTCTCTCTCTCTCTCTCTTCTCTTCTCTCTCTCTCTCTCTCTCTCTCCTCTTTCTCCGGCGTTCTNCGCACACCCTGGACCAAGGCAGGGTAGGATTTTCTCTCTCTCTCTCTCTCTCTCTTTTCTTCTTCTTCTTTTCTTCTTCGGGGTCTTGTTCAGGATGAGGGAAGTCGCGTTGAGGTTTGTTTTCCCCTTCTCCTCCTGTTTCTGCTCCTCCTCCTCCTTCTCTTCTCCTTCTTCTACTCTTACGATATCCCAACACCTCCTCCTCTTCCTCCTTCTCCTCCCTCCTCGTCTTTCGCTCCTTTTCCTCCTCCTCCTCCTCTTCCTCTTCCTCCTCTCCTCCTCTCCTCCTCTTCCTCCTTCTCCTCCACCTCCTCTCTTCTCCTCTTTTCCTCCAAGTCCTCTCCCATCCTCGTCCTCCACCTCTCCTCCTCTCCTTTTTCCACCTTACTCCCCCTTTCCCAACAACCCCCTCCCTTCCCTCGTCCTCCCTCCCCTCCCCCCCCTCCTCCCCCCTCCCCCCCTTGACGCGGATAGTCCAATCATGATCACAATCAGATTGGAGCTCGATTGTCAAGTGTATTGTGCGGGGGCGCTTGGCTGCCGAACGAAAATTGGCCAGATTTTCGGGTGTCTCGTTCTCTTGGCCTTGTCACGGGGCCCTTTTTCGGTGCGTTGCGATTTGTTTCATTTCGTTTCGGACGGAGCGTGTTGATATTTTTTTATGCTTTTATTGTTATTTTCTTTTTTTTGTTGTTGTTTTTGATTTGTATATCTTTATTTACTAATGTTTTTTGTGTGTGTTTTTGCGCTATTGTTTTTTTTCAACTTTTTTTTATTATTTAAGAGAGGAAGGGCAAGTTTGAATGTTTTATTTTGTTGATGTTTTTTCGAAGGTTGATAGAGACCTTTTTTTTCTATTTTCGGAGCTGACGTTTCGAAGTGGACGAATGACGTGCGCATAATTTGTCCCTCCTTTTCTTCTCTCCTACATCTCCTTCTTTTTCTTCTTCTTCTTCTTCTTTCCTTCTCCTTTTTCTTCTTCTGCTTCTTTTCCTTCTCCTCCACCTTCTTCTCCCTCTCCTTCCTCCTCCTCGTCGCCGTAGCCGTTGTCGTCGTCCTTCTCCTCCTCCTCCTCCTCCTCTCCTCTCCTCCTCCTCCTCCTCCTTGTCGTCCTCTCCTCCTCCTCCTCTCCTTCCTCCTCCTCTTCTCCTCCTCTCTTCCTCCTCCTCCTCCTCCTCCTCCTCCTTCCTCCTCCTCCTCCTCCTCTTCCACCTCTTTCTCCTCTCGTCCTCTCCCAGTGTAATTTTCAAAACAAAAATAAAATAATCGGCATAAACACGCTCAAAAAGCCAACACTCTCCAGACACACCAAGAAAAGGTCTCAAATCCCCCAAAAGAAAATCGTCTTGACTTCCCAACACGCTGGCTGTGACACTTCGGGTTTCCTTGGGCACGCGCGGCCGATCGAGCGTGGAGAGAGAGAGAGAGAGAGAGAGAGAGAGAGAGAGGAGAGAGAGAGAGAGAGAGAGAGAGAGAGAGAAGAGAGAGAGAGAGAGAGAAAGAGAGAGAGAGAGAGAGAGGAGGGAAGGGGAGAGGGGGAGAAAAACGTAGAGGGATAGAAATATATGTGTGCGTGTGTGTGTGTGTATGTGACGAGAGAGAGAGAAGAGAGAAAGCAGAGAGCAAAAGCAAGGCAAGAGAGGTGAAAGTGAGTGAGAGAGGAGAGAAGAAGTGAGAGAGAGAGAGAGAGAGAGGGAGAGAGCAAGAGGGAAGAGAAGAGAGAGATAGAGATAGAGCAAGAGCAAGAGAGAGAGAGAGCAAGAGGGAGAGGGAGAGAGAGGAGCAGGATAGAGAGAGCAAGAGCAACAGAGAGAGAGAGAGAGAGAGAGCAGGATAGAGAAAAATAGAGCAAGAGCAACAGAGAGAGAGAGAGAGAGAGAGAGAGGCAAGAGAGAGAGGCACAGGTGAGGCGGAAATGCAGGTAGGCATAGTTAAGGGCTTGGTTGGTACCCATCACGCTTGGCTAAGGTCTTCAAGGTTTGTGTGTGTGTGTTGTGTGAGTGTGTGTGTGGAGTGTGTGAGTGTGTGTGTGTGTGTGTGTGTGTGTGTGTGTGTGTGTGTGTGTGTGTGTGGTGTGTGTGTGTGTGTGTGTGTGTGTGTGTGTGTGTGCGCGTGCATTGGCATGTGTTACGGTGTTTTGTATGTAGATGTGATGATGAATTTATAGATTTTGCTTTGTAGATATATATAGGTTTTAAAAAATCAAAAATCATTGCCATAATGACCAAAATTGATTCTTATCATCACTCTACTTACTATTTCTGTAAGAGGAACACCACCGCTATTGTCATCACTATCATCACCATAAAACAAAGTCACACTCACGACCCATAGTAACTACTATCGTAAATTAGTACATCACCACCATTATGGTATTTGCATCATTACCATAACTATTATTGAAATCGTCGTCATAACCACCATGAATTCATTATCATTACCACTACTGTTACAATCACACAGATCATCACAATCACCCTCCACCAACGTCACCACCATCATCACCTAATCAAAAATATCGCACGCATCACCACCTCCCTCCACCACCCTTCTACTCCACCCTCCCTCTCCACTCCCCTCTTCTACTCCACCTCCCTCCTCCACAACCCCTCCTCCACCTCCACCACTCCCTTCTCTCCACATAACCCCCTCCTCCCCACCACTTCCTACTCCAACACTCCTCTCCACCACACCACTCAACCTCCACCACTCTCCTTCCTCCACCCTTCCACCACCCCCGCTCCTCCCACCACCCGCTCTCACCACTCCACCCCCTCCACCCTCCACCCCTCCTCCACCACCATCACAACGAATCTTCGGGAGATTTCAACGCCGAGCAAATAAACGACCCGAGGCGAGGCTGCAAAAAAAGGGGGGGGGGGAGTAGGGGGTGGTGTGGAGTAGGGGTGGTTATGGTGGGGGGTGGGTGGGGGTGTATGGTGTGACGGGAGGGGGAGGGGGGGTGTTGATTGCCTTCTCTCTCTCATCCTTTGTTTTTATCATCCTCTTTTTCCGTTTTTTTTTTATGGGACCTTTTTTGTTTTGTCGTTTTTCGTTTGGGTAATGGGGTTTGGGTTGCTTGTTTTGTCTTTGTTATTATTATGTATTTTATTCATCTATTTATTTGTTTTTATTTATTATTTCCATTTATTTATTTATTTATTTTTTTTTTTTTTTATTTTTTTTTTTTTTTGCTTTGTTTTTAGACTCTTAAGGAGCTGTTTTATCGATTTCCTTCATTATTTCTCAAACTCTGATTAAGGTCTTTATATCAATATCTTTCCCTTTCCCTCTCTGTTTTAAAAATTCCCTACCCTGTTTTTTCTTCTTCTTTCTTCTTTCTTTTATTTTTGTCTTTATTTTCGAATTTTGTTTCTCGTTTTCTAAGAATGCTAAATTCTATCATTTCCTCCGTGCTGTGTTTTCCTCATCATTTCACTGTTGTTTGTTTTTTTTCTCTCTCTCTCTCTCTCACCTCTCTCTCTCTCTCTCTTCTCTTCTCTCTCTCTCTCTCTTCTCTCTCCTCTCTCTCTCTCTCCTCTCTCTCCTCTCTCGTCTTTTGAAGACGTCCAACGGTTCTGTTAACGGTAGAACTGTTAACTGTTGACCGACGTCGCCGTTTTGTCTCAGGACCGGAGAGGGAAATTTTGTTTGGAAGGGCAGCGGGAGGGAGGGGGGTGGGGAGTTGGGAGAGGGGGTGGGGAGTTTGGGAGAGGGGGGGGGGTGGGAGGGGGGGGGAAGGAGGTGGAGGGAGGGGGGGGGAAGAGGTGGAGGGAGGGATAAGGAGGTGTGTTCGGAAGGGGAGCGGGAGGGAGGGGTGGGGGGAGTTGGGAGAGGGGTGGGGGTGGGAGAGGGGTGCGAAGGAGGTGGAGGGAGGGGAGGG